ATATACAAATATATATGTCCTATATATATGCGTAAGCCTCCGCGGACTGTTCTGTAACCTGCAGCCATGCAACAGGTATACTGAGAAAGGATCTGGGGGTCAGCAGCCTCACCCTCTTCATAATTTCCTGGCTGTGGCTGCCATAAGACTTGCTAGCATAAATGCTCAGCATTTATCGACTGTTCCTCCTCTATATTTTTAGCAGTTACCATCAGTAGTTTCCATCAGCTACGCAAAGAGATTTCCAAATTGAAATAATCATTGTTTTGAATGAGCTAAGTCAGTTCACAAGGAAAAATCAACCTAAAAAGCATTTTAAACAAATGGACTCATAGACTAAGCTTAAAAGGAGCTTTAGAGTAGATCCACGCAACAACCTTATTTAAGAAAAGCACAGAGAGATGAGGTAGCCTGATCAAACTGGCACAGTTAGCAACTAGTAAAATTCCCAGATGGCCATAGCAGCTCCTGATAGCTTTCCAGGCTGAGTAGCTCATGTTGCACGTTGGATGAACAATACAAGGCAGAGAAAAGCTAAGGGAAAAGTCACTGGGAACATTACCCCAGCTTAATGCCAGTAAGATCACAGAAACCTATAACAACATTATAATTGCAAAATATGGAGTTAAATGCCAACAGTAAATTTTACCATCCCAATTCCATAATTAATTAGCTTTTACTTAACTAAAAGGTAAAATACGTTTTTACTTTTTTTCCATATGTTTAAAATAAGGTCTTTTACTTTTTTTTCCGTATGTTTAAAATAAGGTCCTAACACCTGCCTTAAAGCCTTGTTGTGAACAGTATCTCTGCTGGAGTATTCTTGCCAAAATCCATAACCTCAGTCTAATCATGAGAAAACATCAGACAAACCCAAATTGAGAGACATTCTATAAAATAATTGACAAATTCTCTTCAAAAAGGCCAAGGTCATGAAAGACTGAGGAATTGCCATAGATTGGAGGAGACGTGACAACTAAATGCAATATGGGATCCCAGATTTCATCATAAACCAGGAGGAGACTAGTGGAAAAACTTGTGAAATTTGAAATTGTCCCAAGTTAATTTCTTGGCTTTGATAATTGTATTATATTGTGCAAGAAGAAGCTGCTTGGTGAAGAGTATACAGGAATACTCTGTACTAATTTTGCAATTTTGTGTATCTCAAATTATTTTAAAATTTAAAAAATGCTAAAAAAAAAGAGAGCAATTTTTTTAAAAGCCTTGTTGTGAGAACTAAATACAAGATAAAAAATTTAATACATTGCCTATTTTTTTGCAGGCACAATTCCTTCATTGAATGGCTACATTTAGCGGCCATAAACAGTAGAAACAGTATGTTAATACTGGCCAAACCCAGGTTGGGACAGCTAATAATGAAGTGTGTTGTCCAACTGTGATAAAAATGTGGACACTTTACACTGCACCTGAATGATTACAAATATTCTTGCAAAAGTCTTCTAATCATCAATATTTCACTCTTTGCACAATACAATCATGAGTTAGTGCTTAAAGAAGTCTGGATTCTGTGTTTGGTCAATGATGACAGGCTTAAATTTACCTAACGCCATTATCGTTTAAACATAACATGTCAGATCTTCATTCCTCTGACTCTGTGACTACTCTCGTCTTGTCAGACCTCAGCGGTTTTCTGTGAGGTAACACCTGGCAAAATAAATCACTTTCATATAAATTGTAGACATCTCATAATGAGTATGCCTTGATACACTTTTATTTCTGTTTTCTCTCTAGTTTTTATTTTAAACTTGATTCTACATTTAGCCTTGAGGGGCAAAAGCCTGCTCTTGAGATAACTAAAGGTCCCCAATGCCAAGCTTATTACCCAAGATTTTGCTTTTTTAAGGAAACACTAAAACAACCTAGGAATTGCATTACTCTAGCAAAGTACTGCTGTGGCTCATACGCTTTTGCTTTTCACCCCAGGGAGTAACTGGTGCAGCCAAAACTAATAACAAGCAAATTGCTATTTGTTAGTTTTTGATAGAATCACTCATGTGATAAATATACATTTCTTTCCACCCCTGCAAAATAATTTTTGTTTTCTACAAAGGTTATGAGATATCATAAAAATGTCTAATGCATCTGGTTTAAGGATCCAATTCTTCCTTCACATATTTCTGCATCTGTTCACAAAATCTCTTTGACTTCAAAGGAAGCTTTTCAAGAGAAAAAGAAGATACATACAGGAAAAATGGCCATAAATTTTTAGTTTTCCAAAGCCATTTTAATAACTTTTCTAAGGCCATTTTAATAACAGCACTGTGGGAAAGCAAATATCACTCTCAGAGAGCTACAATATCACAGATGATATAATGACTATACATTTATCTGAAGATTTATGTTTTAGAACTTTATTCTGGGTCTGAAAGTGATATATCTTCAACTTAGAACATGTGAAAAATACAGCAAGCTTAAAGAAGAAAACTTAAATCACTTTTAATCCACTATTTAGGAAAACCAAAGAGAAACAAAAAATGTTAAGAATAGTTGTTTCCTTCCAGTCTTTTCTTCTCTTGTACATATATTTATATAAATATTTATTTGCAAATATAATATTATAATTACACTATGAATGCAATTTTATATCTTTTCTCAATTGGTCTTTCAAAAGACTGCACTAGTCTTTCAAACCATCATTTTTAATGACTGAAAATTATAGGGGGTGGGGGAGGGATAAATTAGGAGTTTGGGATTGCAGATACGAACTACTATATATAAAATAGATAAACAACAGGGTCCTATTGTGTAGCACACGGCACTATACTCAATATTTTGTAATAATCTATAAGGGAAAAGAACATGAAAAGAATATATATACATATATAACTGAATCACTTTGCTGTACACCAGAAACTAACACAACATTGTAAATCAACTATACTTCAATAAAAAAAAATTTTTAATTTATATGTAGAACTATGCTTTAAGAAGTGCTCTTGCTTACATTTAATTCATATTCTACTCAAAGCTAAATTAAAGGTTTTGAAACACTAATCTGTTCTGGAAATTCTACAACTTGATACCATCTAGATTAAGAGTTGATTAAGATAACTGTATTCATAAATGCCACTGAAACAACAGTAGAGATTTAAGAATTCTATTCTTTAGCATTTATAATGATTTAATGCCCTAAACTTCCTAGGACAAGCATTAGTGCGCTGTAGTTTGTTTTTCTTTTCTTTTTGATTCTCTACTTCTTATGACATCCTCAACTCTTGAGTTTGTTACAAGAGGAAGTTTGGGTCTAAGACTTAGTTACTTTGTGGGGGGGGGGACTCAAGACAGAGGGGATGTATATATATATATACATAGAGTTGATTCACTTTGTTCTACAGCAGAAACTAACACAACATTGTAAAGCAATTATACTCCAATTAAAAAAAAATAAGACTTAGTTACTCTGAATCCACAGGTTCTAATATGCTACTATTAGCCATAAATATAATAACCAATTCTGGTTCTGTAGAATCCAACCTCAGACTTCAAAGAGAGGAGTATTTGATGTATTTATCTAATTTTGAATCAATTTTTACCTAACAATGCTGCCTGAAATTTCAAACAACATTTAAATAGTTGTTTTGACAAATAACTTTCCAGCGTAATATCCTCTATCCTTACAAGAATCTTGTGAGGCCCATATCAGTGAAGGACACTTAGGTACAGAAAGTTAAGTAATTTATGGGATGATTAAAATAACAAGTTGAACTTAAATCTTGTTTTTCATAATTAATCTCACTGCTTTACTTTGGCTTCACGATCATGGAGCCATAGATTTTCCAAAGCTTGAAGGAACACTGTCAATCAGTCCAACCTTTCCTCCACCCATTTTGCTAAAGAAAATAAGTCCAGCGAGTTTAAATGACTTGTCATGCCACACAGCTAGCAAGTGGCAGACAAATCCCTTGACTTCTAGTTTCCTAACTTTCAGTCTAGTGCTCTAATACACCAGTTACCATACAAAATGCTCCTCACACTTACACATTATGACAATGAATATGCCAGGATGCCAGGAAATCACCTAATAGTCACAGAATCCCTAAGATCTCCCTAGTTCCCAAGAGCTATCTCCCAAGAGATGTATGGCAAAGTGCCTACCACTGAGATTGCACTTGCAAGACGTTTAGTAAATGTCTGGGTGAAGTAAAAATCTGAATAAGTGAAAGAGTGTGTGTGTGTGTGTGTATATATATATATATATATATATATATATATATATATATATGTTTGTTTTGTTTTTCCCTTTTGCTATGAGGGTAAAATTCTAAATACTGACGGGACGGGTTAAAGGCCGTGTCCATGCTCTCAACACTACAGAGTAATGGTAACAGGAGTGCTGCCAGGACGGGACGACGCCTTTGGCAGCTTGCTGAAATTCTTTCATAGAACCTCCTAGATACAGGTCTACTTCGCGGTAATGAGGAGAAATCAGAGTGGAAGATGCACTGACACCTGCTCAAGTACCGCACTGCCTGAGGGAGGACGTCAAGAGGGTGCACCTACTTAAACGGGTCGATTCCTAAGAGACATCTCTAATTTCTCCGCTGGACCCTTGGCTTGCTATTAGGGAAAGGAGAGTAAAAGCAGCAACGGGATCAAGACAAGGTGTGCAGTGCCGGAGGGACCGGACCTCTGGTATCGTATAACTTCACACACTGCTGGGCTCCCCGCGTTGCCGGGCCAGAGCGGAGGTGCGGCGCTCTCAGGGTGCTCAGAGGGGGAGGGGCTGAGACTAAGTGGGTAAGCGGCGGCGCGTTCCTCCCACCAGGGGCGCGTTACGTCACCGCGAATCCTTGCAACGTCGCCACGCTCCGAGTAGGAAGGCAGTCTTAGGCAAATCGACCTTAGGAACCGAAGGGTTTGGTAGTCTCCAGAGGAAACGGGAAGGGAGAAGCAAACAGAGGGAGGAAAGAGGGATGAGAAGGACCTAGCGGGATGGGAAACTAGTGGAAGAAGGGCCAGCTTCGGTTACCTGGGGAGCGGGAGCAGCTTCGGGTCCTTGATGAAGTGCCCGGATGAAGTTCCAGCACTCACGCGCCTTCCGCATTGAGTGCAGCGCCATCTTGAGAAGGGCGGAGCCGTCTAGTCTTGAGTGACATCTGCTCAGAGAGGAAGTCCCAGATTCGCAGCGGTTTTGCTTGTTGCGCATGCGCACTTGCCCTCGGGGCGGGCCTTTGTGCCAGTGCCTGGGGGCATCCGGTCTTCGCAGAGCGGGTCGCGGGGTCAGGAACTGGGTGGGGCTTGGCTTTAGCATTTGCCCTGGAGACCTAATATTTGCGCAGGTTTCGTGAAGGGACAGTCTCCTACGAGGATATTAGTAGCAGTGTTTTTTAAACTGGAAGAAAGCCAAGTGAGTTGCCTTTCGTATCCTGGCCGTCCTGAGGCAAGCTTTTAAGAAGTTTCTCTAGGAGTGGGACCTCCCCAATCCTGTTAGAGGGCAGTAAGTGGTCTTTTGAGACCTATGTGGCCTCATTAATGCATTCTATCTGCAAACGTTTGTTGAACCCTGCCATCTGCTAGGTACTGAAGGTGCAAAGAAAGATATATCTTGCCTTCAAGTTGTGCACGGGCTAATGGGATAGCAGATAAATAAATGATGCACTGTTTGAGGTGTTAAAAGAAGCAAATGCCGAGATTGGGGAGGTGGGGTGGTTATGACTGTGGTGCTTCAGCCTGGTCCAAGGAAGGCTTCAGAAAGAAGATGACACTTGATAGAAGAAACTGTTCAGAGTTTTGCCTTAAATTATGAGAAGAGTTAGCATGGTACTCCTACTTCTGTTAGTGCACCCAAAAATCTATCAGTAAAAATATAATTGGGAGAGATTCGTCAGAATTCCTTTATGTGTTTTGTTGTATTTATTCATTAGGAAGAGGTAGGAGATAAATGCAGTAAGGATGCTGTTACTCTTAATGGAATTGAAATCTAACAAGGTAAGACAAAACTTATCAATTTATCAATTAAAAACATACAGTAAAAATCTCTTAAGAGTGGCACATAGTACTGGTGAATTTCAAGCATAAGTGATGTGATACAGAAATAAGCAGGGAAGGAATTGTAGGAATGAGGACAAAACTAAGGATAAAACTAAGGAAATCAAATGCCATTCTTCAACAAAACTAATCAGTTTGGTTTTGTCTCTTTTAAATTTGAGGTGCTTGTAGTACTTCCAAGTATGACACTAATTAGATAAGTCTGGACCTCAGGAGAGAGGTCTGAGCTACAAAACAGATGGTAACTGAATCCAAGGAAATCTTTTGAGACTACAAGGTACAGTTTGTGGAATAAAAGTAGTCGGATGATGGAAATTGAAAGGAGTAGCCAAATAATGTTTAAAAGCCCCCAAAATGAGGTATTACTGAAATCCAGGAAAGAGACCCTGCCAGTGGAAGTGATGATTGATCTTTTTAAAGATACAAGGTATCTCTTGTAAACATGCAGTTTTATAAATGCCTAAATGTTTTGCACTCATATATACAGCAAAGCATTAAAATACAGTTTTTTACAGATATATTAATTAGATTTGATGACCCTAGGAATTAGCAAGATTAGACTTCTGACATCCTCAGCCACCTGGATTATAAGATAAAGCCTAGCAATGATATGAGGGTTTCGACAGAAAGCTGTCACAGGGCCTGCGCACTTTATTTACTCAAGCAGTACGTTTAGTCTTTTATCTCCGAAGACTCACATACATGACTGATAATATTTTCATGGGAGATATTTGCAAGACACTCCCATTGAAGAAGGTATATCAGGACAGCTGTGTGTAATCACTTCAATATCTATATTTTTTAAAGTAAGTTATTTTCACAGGGAACTACTGTATAGCACAGGGAACTATACTCAATATTTTTAAATAACCTATAAGGGAAAAAATCTGAAAAAGTGGGTATATATATATATGTATAACACTGAATCACTTTGCTGCACACCTGGAACTAACACAACATTGTAAATCAACTGTACTTCAAAAAAAAAAGTTATTTTCAAACTTAGAATAAATTGTGTTTCCCACCACAGTGGTGACCTGGTGACTCTTGAGTGTCACTCAGCCAGCATGATGATTTCTTTTGCGTTTCTTACATTTCCCTAGCACCTAGTATAGTACCTTGCACCAAGTAGGCACATCTTTTAAATCTAAATTTTATTTTGACAAAGTAAGCAATTAATTGACAGGTTGGTATGCTTTTAGCCAGAGGGACAGCTGACAGCAGAAAAGACACTAGACCTATTAAAAGCAAGCTAGTTTTGTCTGCTTTTGCACTTTTTTACAATGGCGGTCTGAAACCTTTTGGTGTTGGCAAAAGTATCACGAAAAAGCTCACCATCATCTAAGCTCACCATCTTCTGCTCTTCTAAGAAGTGCAGTATATTCAGCATATTTTAATGAGTATTGTAAATGTTAATCCTGAATCTTCAGGAAAAGATGTTCTTCAGTGTACCTTTTAAAGAAAAAATTTGTAACTTTTGAGAAGTTTCCATATAAAATGGTTAACATTTTAAAGGTTTGTATAATGCAGGGTTAGTTTGATTACATGGGAAGTTCACTTATGGAATATTTCATTGTCCAACATTGTTGTTTAAATGAAGCACCACAGTATTTATTGGCAATATTTTACCATGGCTCTCATTTGGTAAGCCAAAGAGCTTTAGTAAAATGAGATATAAGTGTTGTATTGAAAGCAGACTTTAGATATACTTAAAATGAAAACCTTTTATTTTCGTATACTTGTAGCATGCACTGTATGTCTACATATGTTCATGCTTAGAATTTTGAACACTTGTTTAAAATTTGATTTCTCATCAACAGTTTTATTTTATAGTAAGTTCTAGTAATTTTGCTCTTTCCTTAACATTCCCTGAAAATCCCATCTTACTTGAAACAATAGATTAAAACCAGACTGGCAGTTGGGGAACGCTTTCTATTGCAACCATGTGTGTCAGAAGAAAGGATTAGGTTTCCTTGACCAAGAACATCAAGGGGAACCTCCACCTCTGCAGACACACCTCTGTTCCTCAGTAATGGAGAGTTTATATCTAGTTAGATTTAAATGGGATAAGGAAAGAGTTTAAATCCACTCTTAGCTCTGGTAGTATAATCAGCCCTCCAGTCTCAAAGTATCCAATTTTGTTTCTCTAATTTAATTCTAAGTGTCAGGTTGGTATTAGATGCTGATCAAGGTAATGGAGAGTTACCCTACACATTTATTCACTTAAAGAAGAATTTTGCAGAATGCAAAGACTAGATGGCATCTATGTTCAAAACTTACTTGAAGCACAATCCATTCACCTCTGACCTTTCATTTATATTGAATATGTTTTTCAAATACAGAGGGAGAGATTCCACAATGAAGGCAAACCTTTTGCTTCATAGTCTGGGGTACAGCCACAGTTCTCTGGCCATACTGTCTTATGCTGGACTCATTGTGACCTAAATCGAACTGAGGCAGAGTCTCCCTTAGAGTGAGATAGTTTCCAAGAGTCACTAAAATACATGGGAAACAAAAATAATGATTTGGAGATTGTTCTTTTACACCTTTGGCTTAATTCTAGTTCTACCCCTCATTTTATATTTGATGAAACTGGTCCAGAGATATTAAGTACCTTAATGAAAAATCACACAACAAATAAGAGCAGGAATAGGAAGGACTTTGATCTCCAGATGAGTGCTCTCCTTTAAGCGACACCACTGTAAAGCTGAAGGAGCTAAGGCTGGGGCTGGTCCAAGCAAGGAACAGTTTGACCTAAGGGCACATCCTTGTCATGCTTCAAAGTCAGAGCAACTAAATGGCTGAGTTTTAAAGGGTTGATGCTCTCATCTCTCCACCCCTAACATTAAAAGATGCTGTTTTTCCCTAGTAATTTTTGGGGAAGCGCAAATTGTAGCATCTTCTTTGTATGAGGGTAGTAATCAGGAGGCTTATCTGGTCTTTGGGAAGGCTACTTAGGTGCTTGAAGGGTGGCATTACTATCACTTTTTTCCTGGAAGGTAAAAAAATAAAATCAAGGGAGAGGCTGGGTGATGTGGATAGCAAAGTAGAATTTTTCTCGGAGTACCTTTTTCTTAAAATTAAGGGCCAATGCCATAGTCTTTTCTAGATTCGCCTTCTTACCTTAAGGACTCTTTCCTACTCCACAACAATGAAGACATTTTGATCAGGGTTGGGAGAAGGTGGTGAGGATGGGGAGAGCCAGAGCAGACATAAGTGAATAATTTACAGTTATTGATCTTCAGACAACTGACTCCATTACTTGTAGAATCCTTCATGTGCGGTACCAGGAAGAAGACTGATTATATGGGGGTGTTGCAGGCCCTGGGATTCCTGTTCATTTTTCATGTTTTCTCTCCATACTCTTTTTCAAACTGCTTTTCAACATTAGAATACAGATCTTCAAAGAAGACAGAGAATTGCTGCCTTATTTAAGTATGGATCTAGAATGGAGAGCATAATTTTGGAGGAATGTAAGAGATTTTTTTCAATGTCCCCCATCCCCACTGTCCACCCGCAGTCTTAGGACATATGTTCCGTGGAGGAAATGGAGCTTAGCAATGAGCAAATTAAAGTTTTGAAGGAACATCTTACTTTGTTATCTCTCTTTGCATGCCATATCTTTTCCAGGTGGTATGGCCCTAAAGACAAGATCCATATGTTATCTGCACACTCATGCTATTTTTAAATTACCACCCTTTGCTCTCAGCTACTTCAAAACTAGGGTGAGTAGGCTTCCTTCTTCTGGATTTATGTTTTACAAAAAGAACTATAGCAAGGTCTTCAAAAAGCTTCCTGGAGTGTCTTTAGATAAGCTCTTTTCTATTTTGTCTATGTAATTAGACTACATCAGATTCCTGCCCACTCTGTACCTGTCTGGTGTGATTCTAGGATCCTAGCTGTGACCACTGAAAGTCAGACATAATCCTTAGGTCTTGATCTTTCTAAAAACAGCACCAAAAGATAGCTTAATCTCTCTAAAAACAGGGAGGGTGTTACCCTCACTGTCTCTGTCAAACCCCATCTCTAACCAGTTAGATTCTGCTGGACTTTCCGAAACTCAACTGACAGTTGCAATCAGTGATTTCTTTTTCACTTTTTGTTCTTAATAAGTAGAACTGAGCATGAATTTGGAGAAAATTTGTATGGTGGTTCCATTACTGATCTCAGTGAACCGTTTAATCTTCATATGCCTCTTTTCCTTGTGTAAAATGAGTAAAAAGTAGGAGGGCTAAGTGACATGAATTGTAACTCTTGTGATTCTAGAAACTAGTTTTTGTCCCAGAATCTAACTGTCCCAAATCAGACTCATTTAGAAGTATAGAGATGGGTATTAGAGTCAGGATCCATATTTCAAGCATATGCCCTGACCCATGTCCCTGGCAGATACTGACATACAGATATTGAGAACAGGCCTCACAATTTTTTCAAGACTGTGCCCCAGGCAGCTACTCTCAACCGAATAAAACTGGGCCTACTTGTCATCCTGGCATGGCAGGGTTAGGTTTACGAAAAACAGAGAATATGAACCTTTTCTCACCCAACTGTGAACATGAAGTGGCTTTTCGAAGATCACTTTTCAAAGGGTAGGTGGGAAGAGTATCTTGACCTGTTTTCATCCTCTGTAGCTACTTTAGGTAGCAGTTTGCTTACCTCCCAGCTACACTGCTTTTTGTTGTTTCTCAGAAATATACTCATTATTTTGTAATTGTCAATCACAATGACTTATAGGACAGTTGCTAATCCAAGAGTTTTAGGAAGGGTTACCTAACAGATGCTGTGATCTTTAGGAGAGGAATGTAGCCACTGTCCATCCACAGCTTGGCAGGTGTGGGGAATGGGAATAGCCCTGCCTGTCTCTCCTCCCACACTCTGATCTTCTGACCTGTTGGTTCCTCTCATTTGCTGAACTCCAGGGCAAAGGAACATGATTTATCTGC